AACTGCCGCCACTCCCGGCTCTGTGTGTGGAAGTGGTCGGTGCCACTGGGTTTTCCTGGGACCAGAGTCCCCCAGTTCCCTCGAGGAACTGTCCTCCTGTCCTCCCGCCGGTGGAGAAGACAGAGTCCCTCGCTGCCTGCCCAGCTGCCCACCCGCGCTTCGGGCTCTGGCGATGTACGCTGCCCAACCGGAGCCCTGGCTGTTCTTGCCCTGGGGCCAGGAACACCATGTAGAGCCAGTCGTGCCGGGGGGGCTTCCTGGTTTGGCCTCCCGGGCAGGTTTCGATCCTGCAACATGGTGTGCTTTCCCTTCTGCAGCAACGGGAGAGCTATTGTTGGGAAGCTCAGCCTGTTTCAGACAGAGCCTCACTGCACTCAGCTGTGGCAAACATGTGTTTCAGTCCAAAGATCTCCTCCATAAACCCCTACATTCCTCATCCCTCTGTGCCATATGCTCCTTTACCTGGTATCTTAAACCAGGTTAGCATCCACAATCATCAACATTTTCTGGAAACACCAACAAGCCCATAATTATCGGCAAGGAGCCATCCCATATTCACAAGTACATTGGCACTTGTTAGACCCGGGCAACAGACATAAGCTCTTCAGATTCTGATTGACCGGAGCACACCCCGAGGTCAGCAGCACACAAATCCTTTCTGAAAGTCAAAGGGTTCCATTTCTGTCTGGGACAGGATATGCGGGCTGAAAGAGCCCCACCCGCCCGGGGGCACTGACAGGGCACTCACTGCTCGTGGAATAGCTCTGATGTCCTCGGCCAGAGGCTGCAGTGCCTGTGGGTCTCAGTCTTCAGAAATTCTCACACAGTCCAGCACTGGTTTACACCTCGCGCATTCAGTGGGGGCTGACCTGTCACTGGAGCCATTTTCTTTGCTTGTCTGAGCACTCCTTTGCCGTTCGGACAGGTCTTGAAATGAACACTGCAGCCTGTGAGAGGTAAGTTACAGAGTTAAGCCACCTGACACAGGTGTATTTCAAACTTCACGCATGCTGCTCACTCAGTCCTAGCTCTGTGGTCCCCACCCTCTGCCCTAGCCAAGGCTCTTCATCATCAATGCTCACCTCACCAGCAGAGAAACACAGACATCAGAAAACGTCACCTTCCTCCTGTCCTCTTTCAGCCTGGGACACCGAGGTGGGGATTGTCTTTTCCTTTCCCTTTCCATTTCACTCTTTTTTTTTTTTCTTTTTTTTTTCTTCAAAACAAGGCTTAGCAAGCATGATTTTCCTAGTGCAGACAGAGCTGTTCTGCCACTGAAGGTTGGGTAGGAACCTTGAGCCCTCCGTGTCTGGCTCTATCCCAGCACACACACCTGTACCCACAGCAGCAGCAACAGCTGCCTGGGGTAAAGGTAAGGCTGTTAGCACGAGTCAATGGAAAGGATTATAAAATGAAACTTTTCCTGGCAGACTATGTGGGAAGCAGAGTTTTGCAGTCTCATTAATTTTTCATGATGATTTAACATACTCAGGAGTTTCACTAACAAAAAGACTGTAGGTCTTCTCAAGGGTATGCACAATCCTGCTGCTAGACTGAAAAAGCAAAACAAAAGAACTCCGCAGGAATTGTTCAGTTCACAAGGATTTGCTGCAGCCAAAGGAGGAGATGGATTGCTCAGGAGTGCCTGTCTCTGCCTGTCAGGGAGACAGGAGCTAGATAACGAGGTGACAGTGAATGCAATGAACCCTTCCCTAATCCCAGGGAAAGGGCACTCTTATCTCCTTGTAAAATACAACGAAAAAACCTCTTTTTCTCAAGAGCTCCACTGCAGTTTTGCTGGTGGTATGTTCAAAGAGAAATTTAAATTCCATTATAAAACACATTCTTAAAAAATCATTTACAGCTCTCCAGGAAAAAGCTATTAGTCTAGATGGAAGCTGACCTATAGCACATGGATTTAATCCAGAAAGAATTCATATTTCTTTTTCATTTGAGAACACTTCTCAGCTGATATGCAAACACAACTTTGCTAGAGGAAGAGAAAAAAGGTAAAGAGAATCAAACTAGTTTCTTTTTTTTAATGAATGAAATTTTGTGGCACTTAATTTCTAATTGAGCAAAAGTTCCTGATGAAAAAGGGCTCTGGTTGTAGGCAAGGTACAGACTTCTGCCATTTTTCTCCTTGTTTTTATTCCCCCTTGAGATTTCTCTGGCAATAGAAGAAGTTGTAGTTTGAGTCAGGCATCAGACAGCTCCATTCACTCAGTAGGTGTTTCCCATCTTTCATATGCAAAGTGCTTCTTTCTTGATCCTCTCTTTAGTATGCAAAGGGGAAAATGATCTATTAAAAAAAAAAAAAAAAAAGGCAGTGGGTATAGAAATGGGTTTGGGGGAAACCGGTGGAATTAGGCAGACAGAGAAAGGAGCCATTCCTGCAAAAGGCTGAGTATTTTTGGCCCATTACCCTCTCAGAACCACATGTGCTCTCCTGCTGTGTGGCTTGTGGGGGACAGCATGACCAGGCAGTGGCAAAAACTGGAGTTGCTTAGAGAAAGGAAGGTGACCATATGCTACTATTTCCCTGCCTGCAAAGCTTCCTCTATCCCAGCTCGGCTCCGTGTGGTGCAGAACAGAACCATCCTGAGGGGAATGTGCTGGGAGCGAGAAGCCAACACAGCATGTTTCTAGTAAACCACCCTGCTGGGGCTGAGTGAGCAGGTAAAACCTAAAGCCAGGTCCTGCAGCCATTCTCTGTGGAGCAGAAAGATGCTGGTCTCTGGAAGAGGAAGACAATCCCTGCCAGGGGGGTGGACTGACAGCATACAGCCCTTGGCTCCTGCCACAGACCCTGTATTCCACCACTACTCCACATCTCTGCAGATCTGGAATGGCAGAAAGCTGTCTCCTTAAAATCCTGACCCTCTCTTTCCTGTCTCCTTGTGGGAAGAAGCTCCAGTCCTTTTGCTGGATCCCCCATACAAGGTAGGGTGTTTGTGCCCTGGTACTCGTCTGAGAGGCACTGCTGCACTCAGAGTGGCTCGGGCAGGTCCATAAATTGGATTATTATTCTGTCTAGACATCTCAGGGCAAGAGACAGGGAAGGAAGAGCAACACAGCTCACTGCTGTGGGTAACAGGAGCAGTTAACCCTAGTCCGTCCCTTCCCTTACACCCTTTCTTTTCTCCTTTCCCAGCATCTCTCAGATTGTATCCAGCTGAACCTGGAAAAGAAAATGGAGGCTGTCAGTTGCCTCTGGGGGCTTTTCTGCAGCCAAGACACCATTTCTGTTCATTTAATCCCAAAGATATTGAATATCTGACACAGCCCAGAGTGGGAATGAATGTTAAAAATAAAAGTCTTTGTCAGTGTCAGTGTGGCAAATAGAGTCCAGTGTGGTGCTCTGCCCTCTTCTCCTCATGCCTGACAGCAAACAGACATCAGAAATCCCCAGAAACTTTTTTCTAGCATAGTTCAGGGTCCTGAGGGCCCAGAAAAGTAATAGCAACATGGTTTCAGGCAAAGAAGGAGCAGCCTACGTGTCTGGTGCAGACCTCAGCAGACCAAAGGTTAAGCTCACCAGCACTGCAGCTAATTGGGAGAGCAGCAAGTGGAGACTCGAACTCTGCTGAGCTGCCAGCGGTGATTATCCAAACTGATCATTATTTGCAAGCCCCAGGTTTCCCTGGAGATTGTGGACAGCCAAGGTCACATCGTCATGGAGTTGGAGAGGGATGAGCATAAGGGAACTCATATCTGAAGGGTGATTGATAGAGCTGTAATTGTTTAGTCTGAAAAAGAGATAATGGAGAGAAGTCACGAGTGAATAATCCAAACTTGCCAAAGTTATTCCAGAATCTGAAGTCACTGAGCAGGCCAGGGATTGAGTTAGGAAATGACATGCGGGGGAAGAGCAGAACTTGACAGTATTTCACAGCAAAGATGGTAAACAAGGAGAGTGTGATTTCATGTGAAATATTAGACTCAACGTTACCAACGTATGTGCGGAAAATCCGGAGGCAATCTGTGATATCCAAGAGTTTGGCATCTGCTTTCCCCACCAGGAGGTTTTGTAGCCAAGGGGCTTGTGGAGGAAGAATTTTTCATTGCATGGTCTCCTGCCTCTCCCTGACTATGTTCAAAGTGTATTTTGTAAAAGCCCTTTTGTTCTGCTCAGTGTCACATACTCACTCTCAGATGAGGCAGACTGGCTAATTAAGTCGTGAAGAGCCTCTGGTCCCAGATTGCTGTGCAGATAGAGTAGTTTAAAGGGATAAGAATTTTGATTTTCCTTTGAAAAAAGAAGTTTAGAAACATAGTACAGGTGTAGGAACACCAAAACACAAGATGTCAGTGCGGCAGTGTCTTTATGAATTATTATGCACTGTAGGAGAGCATCACCTATTTAAAGTGTGCAAAAACTAGGGAAAACAATGGGATCAAGGATAAGGAAAAAGAGGAACTTAGAGGCAACAAAAAGGGAGTCAGAAAAGGTCTAGACCTTGTCAAAGCATAACACTACCATGACTTCATCTCTCTGATGAAAATTCCACATAGTACAAAACTACAAACTCCCCACAGACAAGTCACTGGACACGTGGGAAGAGTGGATGATTTACACTTCAAGCTTGAGAGTGTGGCTTGAGGGACCCTCCAGGTCAGCTGTCCCAAACAACCTCTGCCCCTGCAGCTCACCAGCACTCTAGGGGATGTGATGGTTTACTATCCTCCTATCAGGTTGCCTCTATAATTAGTAGAGAAGTGTAATGACTAATTAAAAATGTGATTTTATGTGTTGACTGCCATAGACCCTAATCTTTCCTTGGTCTGCCTGCAGCACTCCTGTCCTGTGCTGCACCTGAATCCCTGCCTGTGCGGGGACATCTCTGATGAGGCTGTAAGAACTCCAGACAACAGCTCAGATTGCATCTCCTGAGCAGCTTTGCTGGCACCACATTTGTAATCTCACATATGACAAGTGTGGAGTCTCCTGTTGTGAACTACCTTTACAAGAGCTCTAAGACAAATCACACGCTTGAAAGGCCAGGTAATCCTGTCACTAATCCACCTGGGACAGGACAGCAAGGACATCAAGCCTATTGTTGATGTTATCTGACAAGTTCTGTCGCTGACTGGGGTATCATTGTCACAGTTCAAGAGCTTCTGCTTTGCCAGCTGCTCTACCTCTTGCTGCATTGAACCAGCTCAAGTCTTACCAGTACCTTGCCTTGCAGCTCAGAGGCAAATGAGCACTGGAACTGCTGGGGACAACCTGATCTCAACCTTATCTCACTGAGGTGAGATAAGGTGTGTGCACACACCTGTCTGCTGGTTTTCTGGCACCTGCTTCAGTACAGACACTGACTTCTTTCCGGATACTTTGCATTTACATATCAATTATGGCTTCTGAAGTCAGGACCCAGGAATGTGCTATGTGTGTCTGTAACTGCTGCAGCTTTCTTTAGGCTTAGAAACTAAATGTAGCATTGGGTGGGGCTTAATGAGTCAAAATTTCTCTGTTACTGGTCCCTGGACTGGTACAGTGTGCAAATGAAGCTAAGTGCGATGCCTGTGGCATGAGTGTCCATATCAGCACTGGTGTAACTGCTACCACAAATGTGACTCTGCTGTAATGATTTTAATGAAATAAACCCATTTTGTACAAAAATTAAATATAGTTTATCAGTGTTGATAAACTCAGCCGATGTTGGAAAGTACACAGCACAGACTGCCAAGGCCAATATGTCCTGCTTTCTGGAAAAAATATCAATTTTCAAGCAATACTGAGCTAATAGTATTCTCCAGGCTCTTTTGTCTCTGATAATCTCCTGCCAGTTAACTTTGGGTGCAATTCCAGAGACGTGTAATCACTAAAATTTTGCCCTTTTTCTATGGCTATGAGAAAAATAAATGAGAGGGACTCTACAAAATATAAAAAACATCCTTCCCCCACCTTTTAACCTTCATTTTTTTCCCATATCACACAAGGTCCCTCAGGCTAAAGTTCATCTCACTGCAGTCTTGCTCCAATACTCATAATTCTTTGATGATTTGAGATACTTTGTGATTCTGGCTGGCCTGAACTGTTTGTCCTTTTTAATCCTGGATGCCAGGCACTGCAGCAAGACACATAATTCAGCTGTAAGAGACCATGGCACGTGCTCTGAACAAGGACCAGAAACTGCTGGTGTCTGCATCTCTTGTGACAGCAATTCCTAAGGCATTTTTGGGGTCAGAAGGACCTCAATCTATTTTGTGTGAAGGGGTTTTTGTTGTCACACAGACTAAGCAGTCCCTCAAAGTACTATTCAAACTTTCTCCAAGCTAGCAAAACCACTCAGACTCCATAAATCAAGAACTATAGGAATGAAATAATGTTTTAAATTCCTGGGAGAGAGGAAAGTGTATCCTGCAGACACCTCATCACTTGGGAACTGGAGTCTGCAAATATTTTGTCTAAGCAAATTCAGCAGCCAGAGGATGGTCAAGTTTCAAAGGATCTATAGAGATCCTAGTCCATCCCCCTCCAACAAGGTAATACAAATAAAATTTGTTGCTGTCATCCTTGGGAGATGTGTGTCTAAAAAGTTCCTGAAGAGCCCGGTGGAGCATGCAGGACATGGGAGCCTTTAAGGAATGTGCCAGGCTGGAGGCTGAAGGCCCTGTTAGATGTCACAGCCCTCAAGTTCACTGCTCAGCTGTGTCAGTGCCAGGGATGACTCACTCTCCTGCTGACCCAACATGGAGCAGTGCCAGTCCTCCTGCAGAGCAATCATACTAATTAATCCTCCCAAGGAGTGCAGATAATTGAGTGGCTTCTTCACATGCAGATTCCTTTGGTTTCTATTTGTCCAGGCCTCTGTAATCTCTCTGGGTCCTGATTTAGGACCCCCCTCCACAGTGAAATATCCTGGAGAATTTTTCAAACTTTTGGAGCAACGCACACAGACGATGGATTACAGGATTCTCCATCACTTGGGATCCCTGAATGAGTCATGGACGTCTTTATAAAAAGCATAATCCAGTCCAGCCCTTGGGCTGACTCCTGGTACAGGATACAGTGGGTGAGGTTTGACATTTGTGTTATGTGGGAGGTATGTGAGCATCTCCAGTTCTTGGGATTCAGCTCCCCAGCGCAGCCTTTCAACCACCTTTCCCTTCATTTCTCTCACAGGGAAAAACAAAATGCAGGACCTTGCCAGACCTGCCTTGCCATGCCAGAGATCGGGAATGCTGAGCTCAGCTACAGTGGCACTTCCTGGGAAAAAATCTGCCCAGTCCATCACTGCCCCATTCCTGCATCCCCCGGGCCGGGGGAAGACAACTTGCCCTCCTCCAGCCACACGCTTGGGCCAGGCTCCACGCAGTCCAATGGCCAGGTGCCGTCCAGCTCACAGGACTCACAGCAGCACCACCCATATTACCCCTGCAACCAGGAGGAGTCCCGAGGCAGCTACGGCCTGCCCTCGCTCCCTGGGCATGGTGAGAGGCCCGTGCTGTGTTCCCACCTTTCCAGTGGTGATCTTGTGCCAGCTTCCCACCACGAGGCCTCGGAAATGCCCTGGAAGCAGTGGTCCCCCGGGCAGCGGCGGCCGGTGCAACATCACGTTGTCACAGTCAGGTAAGAGGCACACGGAGGGCGGCTCAAAAGGGCATCTTGCAGGCTTGGTGGGGGGAAGTGGGAGGGATGAGCAGGGTCTGAGCTGGCATGGATGAAACACAGGTTTGCTCTTCAGCTCGGGGCAGCAGCTGCTCCAAAACACATGGAAGGATCCAGTTTGCTCTCTACCTCTGTATGGGCATACAGAGAGCTGCCATTACCATGCCAGGGAGAGGTGGGATTTCCTTCTCAAGGGAGTGGCTGGCTAAAGCCAAGGTCACTCAGTCACTCCTGGGTCATGCAGCTGTGAATATGTCCATCTTCCTTTACCTTTGTATTTTCTCCCTTTGCACTCCTAGCCACCCAGCTGCCAGTCCTTTATCTTGGCAGAGTTCTCAGTGGTGGAAACAGAGTTCATTTCCTTCCCCCACAGAAGCTGCTGCCAGTGCCGGAAGGGAGTGGCAGCAGAGGGTAAGCACTGGCTGCAGCTGAGCAGTAAGAGATACTAAAGGGGTGAACATTATTTGGCTTTCCAGGTTCGGCAGCAACCAGGGTATGAATTCCTTGTTGTCCATGACAGAATCCATTTGTATGTAGTGTCTGGTTAACAGCAGCCTGAGCTACAACCTCTACTCCTTTCAGCCAGCACCATCCTTCCTCCTGAGTGTGCCTTTTAGAGTCCACTCTTGGCACAAGAGATCATGATCCCTTCACTGCTGTAGTCGTAGCCACAGAATCCTGATAAAAGATGGCACAGGATTCCTTGCCTGTGTACAGCCTTGCAGTGTTAGGAACAAAAGCCCTGTAGAGTCTCATTTTCCAGCTATTTACACAGGATTTAATTTGCTTGTGTTTGTGTAGAGGAACTGCAGTCAAAGGAGCCTAGGTCCTTTATCTGAATCACTTTCCTGGATCCTTTTTCTGGATCCTTTTTCACTCATATGCCATCAACAAGATTGCCAACCACGTCCTCTGTAACAGGTTATTTAAGTAGGAAGCACAGCTGGATTGTAAATCCTTGGCAGAGTGTGCAGCACCAGCAGTCAGAAAAGTGATAACATAATAATGCCAGAATGAGGTTTTTAATCCAAGTAAATCTGCTTGAAGAGCTATTGTGAGGGAATTAGCACAGGATGGGCAGTATACTGCTGGAGAGAGACCTCGCTTTGATAATCTGGGGAGGCTTTTGCTCTGCTCCTCTCTGTCCCAAATCTACAGAGCATTAGCGTGACGAGCAAAACACAGAATCATTTATTACATGAGCCACCCGGAGTGACTGCCATGGGGAGCTCTCCTCCACTGCTTTTCCATTTCTCCCACTCATAACAAGGCTAGAAAGGATGAGCTGCCTCAAGGTCCTCAGTTGGCTGCTGCATGGAGGGGGGGCCATCTGCCCAACACAGATATTGGAGTGCAGCAGGACCTTCTCCCAGTTTAAGCAGGAGCGTAGGAGGGTGAGAGGAGGAGGGAGCACTGGCTGAGCAGAGCTTGGCACAGCTGCAGAAGGAGGTGGGAGCAGTTCTCTGGAAGTTGTGACCAAGCCAAGGCTGTGCCAGACTCTGGGGCATGTTTCAAGAGGACCTTTCAGTGCAGAGAGAGAGCAGAACAAAAGGTCCTGTAGATATCTGACCCACCAAGATGAAGCTTTTCTGAGAGGATGCTGGTGGAAGGCTTGTCCTCAGGGATTCATTGACAAACTTTAGATCCTCTGGAGAAGGCTTCTTTATTTCCCCCCTCAGAGACCTTCAGGTAGGAGTGACAAATGCTCATCGGTGAAGAAAATCCAGATAAAATATTTTTAGCAGTTCCACTGACTTTCTGCTCTTATAGCCTGAAAAGACACTGTCTTTGAAGAGACCCAGGAAACAAATGACAGCCACCTTTTTGGGAAAATCCTCACTGAGCTGAACCGGAAATATAGAACTATCTACAGTTGTAGCTAGCTCAGCACATGAGATTTGATAAAGAGGTTTGCTTTCATCAAGAAATACTTTAAGAAGTGCATGGAAAGCACTTAAACCAGATAGATTTTAATGGATCAGATCTGAAATGGGACTTCTATAGGACTGCATTGCTAATTTCCAGTACTGTCTGCAGGGTTTTCTGAGAGGGGCAAAATGAGGAGTGACTGCATGACTTCCCATCCTGTTTGGTTAAAATGGGAGAGAAAAAGACTCTATTATTCATTAAACTAATTCACACAGTGATAGAACTGTGTCAGCACTGGCTCACCTTGGTGCTTACAGCCCTGCAAGGGTTAACCTGCTCAGGGATCAGCCCAGCACTGGACTTCCCAGGAAAATAATAAATGATCACATCTTTTTTCCTTTCTGTCTGCAGACATGACAAAGCTTTCAGGATGCCAAAAAGGTATGTTTAACAGCAAAAGCTTCCTGTCCTTGTACCCTGTGATCAGTGCTCTCCTGTCCTGATATTAGGAGAAGCAGAGTGTTACTGCTGATGACATCCCAGCAGGCCCGGCTCCAGAGGCGAGGTCAGCGCTCCTGGGGCTTTCCACTCCTTGGAAAAATCTCCTTTTGCTTGAGAGATCAATTTAACCTGCATTAATGAATAGTAACACTGTCTCAGTAGCTGTTCTTGGGCAGGTGCCTGGCTCTAACCCATACAGTAGCTTTATACATATAATTCTGTATGTGTCTCTGTGTATGTGTATATATATATATATACATGTATGTAAGATTAATTCAGCTTATCCTATCAAAGGAAAATAAGGAAAAGACATCCATGAAATAAACTCATCTATTCAAAAGACAGAAAATTTTAAATACATTTATCAAAATTAAAATAACTTGATTGCTTTCTACTTTTTAAAATCTAACTTTTTCCTGGATGGTTTGGGTAAGCACCTTCCATCATCAGCGACTGAAGCTGATTTGTTTTGTTCTTTCTTTTCTGGTAATTGGACATGGGAATATCCAAAACAGCCTCCAGAAATTAGGTACTCTAATAAATAAAAAGCAGTTTTGTTCATCTTCATTGTAAAGACTTTGTATATGAAAACAAACTTGATAAGGCAATTGTAAACTGAAAAAAAAAAAACAAACCAAAACAATACCAAAATTTTAAAAAAAATTAGAAATCAAAAGTCATGTGCAAAGGTGTTTGAAGTGCTTGTGATGACTTCTAACGATAAAATAGCCATAGTGGAGTCCCAGGCAAAAGGGGCAAAAGAGCAGGCAAGGAGAAGCATTCCCTCTCAAATAAAATTCATAAATATTTCCTTTCCCTTCACAAATACTTGTCAACTATTTTTGCACAAAGAATTTGTTATATTTCAGAAATACATCAGAACACAAAAGAACTAACCTGCCAAACCAGAGCAGGAATCCATTCTGATCTCTTATGTCTCAACTGATATTCCTGAAGAAGACAAAAATCTTGACACAGTAAAACCTGCACTGGTAAAAAAAGTGGAAGAGTAACTTTCATAGATCATCCTCTATGGGAGATAGTTTGTCCCAAAGGGGATAGAAAATTTTACACCAGCTCTTCAAGAACAGAAGTAACTGGCCAATAATATTTAGGCAGAGTAAGCTGCTTCCCTGGAAGGGTTTTAATGTCATCAAAATTTTGTGATACATCATTAAAATTGTATGTATTCTAGTGAATTCATATTAATTTGGAGCAGTGTCTAAATACATTAATTTAGACCAATGACAGTGGGCTTGCTCAGGTCAGTTACCTTCAGGGACTCTTCAGAATAATCCAAAGATTTCTCAGGGTCCAACTGGTAAATCTGTAGCCTAAACTGTTGCAGCAACCAGCCAACATTGCACAATGTGGGGGAAATTAAAAGGCTCTTTCTAAATGCACTCTTTGAACTTAAATGTTTAAAGCTTCATTTTGCTCGAGGACACATGAGTCTGGTTTTTATTATTTCTGATTGAAAAAGCTGGAAAACGCAGGGAGGCAAAATGTAATTACCCAAGTTAATTAGAGCTGCCTGCAAATATCCAGTTAGAGGTGTAATATGTTCATTAATAGCTGCACTAGAGACTCCAAGCTTCACAATAAATAACTGCACAAACCAGAGACCCTGATTTTTTTCCTTCCTGTTACTCACACCTCATTGGCTCAACAGCAGGTTTTGTGCTCAGAGCAGAAGCATCTTACCAGCTGCGTTTTTTCTCCTCCTGTTGACTGCAGTTACTCGCAGCTGATGGCCGAGTGGCCGCTGGCCGTGCTGGTGCTGTGCTCCGCGGTGGCAGCGATCTGCACCGTGGCTGGGCTGCTGGTTGGGAACCTGCCTGACTTTTCAGAACCCCTAATGGTAAGTCCCTACAGCTGAGGTATCAATAGGAATGTAAGGAAAATCCATGCCCAACCAGTGATATCATCCCTCCAAGATGGGCAGAATGTGCCAGTCCTGCACTGCTGCCCCTGACACACAGGAAGAACACAGCCCATGCCAGCGGCAGCCACCAGCCCATCCCTCAACCGTGCTGTGCACTCCCACCAGTGCCTTCACTCCAGTGTGGAGATGTTGCAAACACAAACTGGGATTGCTCCCTTTGCTCCCTTTCCAAGACTGGAAGGCTGGGATTGCCCACAGTGAATAGCTAGGCTTGGCAGAGACTGGATAGAGGAGCTGGCTTTGGCTCCTACAGTCTGTGCATGAGGCTTTTCATTTGGAGAGCATGCCCTGTTCTGAGCACTATGCACATGGAACGTTTTCCATGTGGAATGCCACATTCCCTAAAATCATCCCTGCCTCTGGTTCATGGAGGAATCTTGGGAAAATAAGAACACACTAGAATTTGCCCAAAGAAAGGAAAATTAGTGCCATTTCTGTAAGGGACTACTACACTAGTACAGGAGGATAAATTCTTAGGAGATAAGGGAGAGAGAATTGTAGCCACTGTTGATGGGAAAGGAAAGAAGAAGGAAAAGGAAAAGGAAGAAAAGGAAAAGGAACATGTTTGTATTTTTTCTCTTATCTCTGGGATGCAGTATTTCCAGGGAAAGTTCAATTTGTGCATCTCTCCAAGATGCAGTAACAGTCTCATACAGTTTCCATGTGTCAGAGAAGGCCTAAGAACTGCTGAGCTGAAGTGGAGCTGTGACAAAGCCCTTTTCCTTGGTGCAGGGTTTCGAGCCACGGGACACTGACATTGGCAGGAAGCTCATTGTGTGGAGGAATATCGAGAGCCACACAGGCTACAAGAAGACCCTTTCCCTTTCTCCCTACGCCAAGAAGAAAAGGTATTTGAGCTTGGTTTACGGGGTTTGAGGAACATGTTGGTTGCAAAGTCACATATTCAATATTCCAAAATATCTATATAAATTCCATATATCCTACACTTAAAATCAACTGAGGCATTGGAGAGTTTGAAGTCTGTGTGCCTGCAATTGATTTCGGCTTCCTATTGCTGTAAGCCTTGTCAGTGAATGTAACTCCCAGCCAGACACTCTCTTGTTAATAATTATAGTTATTAACAATAATCTGCCCTCTTGCTAGCTATGATGACCTTGGCATTGGCAGAGGACAGAAGGTTGCTCAGGGAGAACAAGCAGCGAGGACACGGAGAATGGTGGAAACCATCTATGGAGCAGATGGATTCTTCTGTGGTCCCCCAGGTGACTGAAATCTTGATGGGGCAGTAAATACAGCACACCCAGAACTCAACTGACAGAACTGTCAGAGTTCAGGACACAGGGAATACTCTGAATTTGCTCTAGGCAAGCCTTGTGTACAATTCCACCAGTGAGAACTCTGACAGTGCTCTCCCTGCACTTCATACCTCACTGGTCAGAAAAGGCTGAGTTAGAAATTCAGAGGAGTTGGTTCTCCTTCTTAACTCTTTGCCATACTTCTTGTTTTCCCTTTAGAAATATACCTTGAAAGCACACATCAAAGGACTAATGTTCTCACCATTTACCCATACCAAAAGTGAATACTCTGAAGAAACAACATATACACCGCTTGCTGTCTGCTCCCTCTCCCTTGTCTGCTCCCTCTCTCTGTTCCTTCTTTCCTTCTTGAAAAATGTAAATGGCAGTAAAATCTGTAGAGAAAACCAGAAAACTCCATCATCCCCCAAATTTGTCCCAAAATGGGCACTAATAAGTAGAAAGAAGAACAGCATGCAGATATTTTTATTCTCTTCCCTGCCTTCTATCCACCTCTGAAAAAAGCCACACACCAAACCCGCAGGTCCTTGGGGGTTTTTGACTGAGCTCAAGCTCCTCCCTTGTTCCAGGGATGCAGAACCAGATGCCAGCAGTCACTGAAGGCAAGCTGACATTTAATTTTGAAAATGGCCTAATGCTGCTGACCAATTTCAAGGGGCAGGGGTGAGGTCACACAAGGCACATGCTCACTATTGCCTTGTGACCTGCTTCCCTCCAGGGAGCCCTCCAGAGCAGTCCTATGGACAGAGATATAAATTTCTTTTTTCTGTGAAGAGAAAGTCTACTCCAAACACCCTGTCTGATTCATCTTCATCATCTAATCCTTTTATGATTTTTTTTTCTTCTTCTTCTTCTTTATTTCAGAAAAGAGCTATTCCCAGCTGGTATTTATGTCCACAACTGCTGGGAGCTTATGGAACTTGCAAGCAATTCAGTCTATGTGTCAAATGGAACAAGACAAGGTCAGTGATGGCAGGAAGAACACATGTACAGGCTGTCTCTTTTCTGTCTGCTGCAGTCTTTGATGTCTTGCTGAGAGGATGCCAGACAAAAAAACAATGTAAGCTATACAAGAAGTTTCACCTGGAGGATTCCGAAACATTTCACTGACTTGGCAATATAGGGATAATCCCACCTGCCAGTTGCAAATTAAACAAGAATAAATGGCAACTGAACAGGAGCTGGTACAGAAGCCAAAGGTGTCCATCAGAAGCTGCTGAGGATTTGATGTAGCAAAACATAATTATGGAAGTGGAGCTACTAGCTTGGAGACTGGTGGCAAGTTTTACAAGTGGGAAGCTTAATTGGATGAGCTGCATTTGCCATAGAAGCCAAAATTTCAAATCTGTGTTTATAAAATATAAATAATGAACAGGGTTTAATTTTTACTAAAGTCTACCAACTTTCCATAGCATTGGTGTTTGGGATTTGTCACTGGGAGGATGGCCAGGGATGGGTGGTACACCAAGGGGAAAGGAGGAGACTCGAGGAGAGGAGACTCGAGGAGACTCGAGGAGAGGAGACTCGAGGAGAGGAGACTCGACTCGAGGAGAGGAGACTCGAGGAGAGGAGACTCGAGGAGAGGAGAGGAGACTCGAGGAGAGGAGACTCGAGGAGAGGAGAGGAGACTCAAGGAGAGGAGAGGAGAGGAGAGGAGAGGAGAGGAGACTCGAGGAGAGGAGACTCGAGGAGAGGAGACTCGAGGAGAGGAGAGGAGACTCGAGGAGAGGAGACTCGAGGAGAGGAGAGGAGACTCGAGGAGAGGAGAGGAGAGGAGAGGAGAGGAGAG